TCATATAGGAATATCATTCAGCCACTGGACATTGTCATTTATAGTTTGAGAAAGAAGTATGGACTAGAAATATATAATAGGGTGACATCTACCAACTTGGGGATTTTTTTTTCTCTATGGAACGTCATCAATGATTGTTTCAAAGGTATATACATTTTTTATTTTGAAAATGTTATATAATGTTGGTACACTCCAGACTACAGCTTTTTAATGGTGTCAGCTTCTATGTTGGGTGCTGAAGATGTTAGAGGAGAGAGCAAACTGAACATGATCCATCAATTGACCTTTAACTGTTAATGCCTACATGAAAGCATTACTTGTCTTTCACTGTGAGAGAGATTTAAAAATACCCTAGCCATCTGTGGGAAACTGATCACTTCACCTAACCTGAGGAATACTATGCAATGAACATTTTACTCCAGTAACACTTATACTAGTCCCAAGAAAATAAGCAAAGGTAGAAGACATGGCTTTTACCCTACTAGATGAATATTTACCGAATATCTTTTAGTGAGTGTCCTCTTTACAATTGGGAATGCAGACATAGCCTAAGTCTGCCATAATATCAACACTACCTGTGGCATTAATCCTAGCTTTAAACCTAATAGTAAAACTCAGCTTCATCTTAAATTAAACTCTGACCCCCAACACTAACAAATTTAACCATAGCCCTAGGTTTTAACCTAATAGCAGCATGGATGCTAACTCTAGTCTTAGCCCCTTTGTTGTTCACTAATTCTAACCTTAACCCTATACCTGACATTTTAGGTATTCACCTAATAGACGGGAAGGTTCTATGGGTCTCAACTAAGTAGAAAAAACTAAATATTGACCCGTAGATTAAATAAGTAATCTAAAGAAGGTTATGATCATACAGTCTTTAACAACACAGCATTGACGTTTCTGATAGAGACAACCAAGGATGTACTTTCATTCCTTAGTGCCTACAAGACACTCTTGATTATTCCTTCTGACTTCAGTAGATGTAACAGAGGAGGAATTGCTATAAAAATTTAAGGACTATTCCCAAGAAGCAAGATTTAAATGGAGAATATACGTTCATATATAGCTTTCATAACTTACACAGAGTGTAAGCTAATCTTAATTTTAGACTTCAAAGAACTCCCCAAAGTGCAAGAATTTTCTATTCATAGAACTCTCCAGAAGGCTAGGTTCACAAGATCTTCTATTTAGATTTAAATCCCAATATGATCCTACCTAGATCTTGGCAGCTAGAATTTATCTAGCTTAGACTGGTGATCATTAGGACAATGTGTGGCATTAGGCTCTGGGGTTTATAGGCATACTATAAGGAAATATACTGTACTGCATTTAGAAATTCATAGACAAGTTGAGCAAGAAAAATGCTTAGTACACATAATACAAGAGCAAATATGATGAGACAGACAAAATTCAAATTTATAATTTGAAGATCATTGTGAGGCGCGCGTGTAATCCTCTCGCCAGCAAGAACGCACCACACACACACACCAGAATCCTTCCGTAAAGCCACGTTTATTCCCAAATACAAAATGGTGGAAGAAGACGACAGGCCCAGGAAAAGCACTGCTTAATATACCCTTGGAGCGGTGCATTCACCTCTGATTGGCTGCTTACTCGTAGCGTGCCAAACGCCGTGGGATGGGCTTTAACTTTGGCAGGCCTTTTCCATGGCACATGCACAATTCACCTATTCACCAGGAAAAATCCCGGATGTCAGGCAAACGAGGCTTTAGCCAGCGCATGCGCGGCTTCCTACAGATCATGAGAACAGAAATGACTCTAAGTGCTACAGTATATGGTATTAATCCTGGATATTGAAACGACTCAAAGATACAGATACCAATGGATACAGTAGACAATATTTTCTTTCATTTGTATAGCATTAGACTTGCCAAAACGTTGTAACACATGCTCAATTTTTCCTAGGCTCTTAAAAGGGTACATAGGGCATTATTATTTGCATATGCAGAAATAGGCTTGATGGAATTTCTTACTCCCCCCCCCAATCACCCAGCAAGAATGGTAAGAGATTTGAACTGAAGTTGTACAATTTTGAATGTAACAGAAACTCACTCTGTTCCACAGAGTAGATAAGGTATGAACTGTGCCCTAAAGGATTGAGTAAAGCTTAAAAGATAAAGGAAGGAAAACCATGTTGGAATGAGATGGAAATAAGAGGAAGACAGGAATCTGGGGATGGAATTGCAGACAGACAGACAGCATAGACGCAAAGAAAAAACAGCAGGAGATGGGCTTTGGGGGATGATATTTCATGTAAGGTTTCACAGAAAAGTCAGTAGGGTTTTGGAACAGAGAGAAACCTAACAAAAGATGGTTCTGAGACCAGTGAGCAGGGAAGACTAGAAAGCAAGTCCTGGAGACCAGCTGGGTGATGCTCATGTGTGACATCAAGGAAGAGTCCAGAATGTGGTAGAAGAAAATTGAAATAAATGGTCTTACAGAACAACAGTTACAGGGCTAGGATACTGTGTGGGTACAGGGGCTAAAAGAAGTGGAGAAATGAAAGAAGTTCACACTTTTTATAGCTAGCAGGCAAGTCATGTGCTCTCTCTGGATCTCTCAGGAAGGCAGACATAAAGGAGGTGAGGGCACCCTCATGCAGAGGGCATAGAAATCTGGTCCACACATAAGACTGTTACAGAAACCCATCACTGCTAATAAAGAAAAGCAGTTTTAGAATGGCGTGAAAGATGATGCTTTCAACGACATTATTTGCAATGACTGCTCCCTCCATGGGAAACATCTAAATGGTGTACAATGGGGAAGAGTTATACAAATCAGGAGTATTGTGTTGAAATTAAGACTGTATTTGAAGAATATGAGGATGTAAATGGTAATAATATGGTGTGTGGCAAGAGTAAAACAGATATGATACTATCTACATATCATAGAGGGGGGGTTGGGCACAAATCCCACCCACCACTAGTGAAGGCACTGATAACTACAGGAAGGAGAGAATCAGTTCTTAAGGTTGTAGCCCTGGGACATCTACCATGCTCAGTGGTAAGCCGAACATCCAAGAGTATGTGGGCAGTACAAACTGAAACTCCATGTTTTGTTTTTTTAAATGACACGAAGTTTGGAGGGCAGGAAGTGGAATGGATGTAGGAGGGTTTTAAAAGGGTGAATATGATCAAAATACAGTGTATAAAGTTCTTAAAGAACTAATAAACATAAATACTCACAATAAACATGTGAATAAAGCAAATGGCTGGTTTAGAGGGGATGATTTGGGTGCTTCTGTGACTAGTTCATATTATTTTATACATTTCTGAAATTCTGAAATGCAAACTTTCTATAACAAGCCTTTATTTAGCTTTTATAATGATAAAATATTTAGGAAAAACAGTATTCTACGTCTTTAGATTTGTTAGGTTTCAAAGCAAACAGCACACAGTGAGCAGAGAGCATAAATTCATTCCGAACTGGCCTTCAAAAGTCAAAGTTAAATGGATGGATTCTGAGAATGGCAGAGAAGGAGAGGTGGCCTCCACAGCAGATGGTAGCTTTGACTAGACAGGGACCAGCATTCTCTTCAGGGGCAGGCTGACCTCTGGGAGCTGTTTACAGCTCAGATAAATAGAGAATCAACTCCGGAAGCAGATAAGAACACAGTTATGTCCCAGATGCAAACAATACCTCACAAAATGCTTTAGAGGGGTCTGCTAACCTCCGAAAGAGCTCTGTTAGGGTTCCTCTCAGCTATCAGGGCTACAGACACTCTAATGCATGTGCATTACTGAATAAAACCACAATCATTCATTCAGGGGCACTACAAAATCTCTGTGGTATTAACATAGACAATTTATATTTAACAGAATAATAATACATCTAAGAAATGATGCCATACCTATGCCTTTGGAAAAATAATTGAAAGTTAAAATTATGAATATCTTTGTTTATTGATATTAATTCATGAGAAGCCCTGTTTCTTTCCTGTTTGCTGAGCTCCTAACAGAGTACAAAGCCACCACTCATCTGAGGGAATACTGAGCTGCAAAACTACCACTGGACTTCAAGATTTCCGTTAAGTGTGCTACCTCACATGACCTCGCACTCTTGCAGCTTGAAGTGAAAACCATGGTAACTATCTCTGACGGATGAGGCCGGACAAGGACAAGTGGAGTCTTCCGCTGGAGGCAGCTTTCATTTCACTTATTTTCAAGCTCCTTAAAGTCGAGGAAATTTTCCTCAAATTTTTTCTCTTCTTCTCCCTATTTACATTAGCTTGGCTTCTTGCTTTGAGGGTCCTCCTTCCCAATGTAGCATACCTCCAGGAAAACTAAAATAACCAAGTCTAGAAAGAGTTAAGATGTAGTCCTTCACTTTTGTTTTGGGTCTGCTTGTTCGAATTTTCATATGCCTGTTTGTTCTCCGGTTCTTTGGCCATGTTCACATTTGAAAGGAAATAAGGAACATAGCTGTGAGTGGAAGAGCCCAGTTTCCGTACGAGCCGGGTGTCCGTGGTTCCTGCCGGATCTGTCAGGTTCCGAATAAGCAAAACTGCTCGACATAAAGGTGGAGGAGTGCCCCCAGTTAAGAGATTTTTTTATCCCATTGGGGGCTGCGAACATAGACACAGTAAGATTGCCTGCTTATCTCTCCACACAGGAAGCAAGCAGCGTTTGGAAAACAAAACCTCATATGCTGATTGTAAACTTTTAATAGATGAACCTTATACTTTGTTTACATCTTCAAAATGTCAAAAATGTGGAGGAGAACCAGTCCTGGGGGGAGAGGGACATTTGATCTTATTTATAGAAATGAAATAAACGTAAAATGAGTTTTTCTACTACAGCTTTCTCTCAGTGCAGTTTAACCAGACCGGCTGTAATCAGTGTGACATCGGAGCTCCATAAGAGGACACTGTTTGTCTAACTTTAGCTAACCCGTGTGCTTCCTGTAGTGTGCTTTGGGTCCTAGCTGCCGGAGCCAAAGGTCCAGTTACCTCTGGCTAGATTTGGATTCCTCTTTCTCTCTCTCTTCAGAGGTGTCTCTTGCTGCATTTATTACTTCTGGCTTTTAAAAACTTTTTATTCATAAATTTCTATAAGCAGAGAGCTAACTGAATCAGCTCTATCTGGAAGAAGAAAGAGGTCCCGAGTCATTTTGCAGTTGGTAATTTCTAACTTGCTTGATTGCATGTACATTTCACACAATTTGCTTGACAAGTGAGCCAGGACTGTGTGTTTCTCATTCATGACTTGGTGTGCAGAAGAAGAGGAAGATGGTGAAAAAATAATCTGAAGAGTTTTGAGGAGAGAAGAGACTGAGGTTTCACTATGTTGTGAGGTCTGCTGAGATAAACAGCCATTCATGCATTCTGCATTTTAAATTCCAGGCACAACTTGAAACCCAAAGAGGAACTTCTCCGAGGAGCTGGCAGACTGAGCCTGGTAAGTCACTGCTTCAGAGTGGCACTCTCCCTCTGTGACAAGCCATGAGCTAGAATGGAATCTGGGCAGGGGCTGTTTGAGTCCTGAGAAGTTCTGTCTTTTCTATATCCAGGATTTTGAAAAACTAAGAGTTCTCACATGGTGAAAGAGGAGCTTGGGGACTTTTGAACAAGACTGTTATGGCATATGTTTTCCTTCAAAGAAAAAGAAAAATATTCTTGACTTCACCAACCTCATTCTAGCCTGCCATAAAAATCAAATTTTCAGTGGTGTGACAAGAGTTAAACCCAGTAAGTTGGCTTTTATATGTCCTATGTCCTCAGCCTGCCAACAGAGAAATATCTAAATGTGAAATTGCTGAAGTTTATTAGATACCAAAAAGAAACTTGTTAACTAGACATCCCAAGTATCCAGTCTCCCTGGAGATCAGTTGCCAACAGCAAGAAATGTCACTGATGAGCCACCACATAAAATAATGTAAGTTTATAAATAATTAGGAAGACTAACTTGAAATAATACAACCTCGTATCGTGCCAGATTTGTTCCTAAGGGAAATAAATAGATGATTCTTATAATGAATAGCAACGGTAGGGAATTCCACGGTGTATTATATAGGCAATGATTGCTTACTACCTCAAGCACAGTGGGGTAAGAGGATGGGATAGAAGACAGGGGAACCAAGAGCACATGGAGGCTGGCAGGGTTAGGGACAGGCTGCTAGACTTCTGTGGCTGCGATAGTTCGAGTTTCTTAAGAAGAGTTCTTGTACCATCAAGGAATATTATTTTTACCTCTCTCCATCTGGAGGTTTTCATTTCCCTGAGATGGGGAAAGGGAAGGAACTCCCTTGCTTCTTGAGGCGCACCCTTTGTGCCCCAAAAGAAGGAACTGAAATTCTCAGGATGGGATCCTAAGAAAGCCAGAGCAACACTAGGAGTGGGGAGGCTTGTGGATTCTACAGGGTCCATTCTTGAATAGGGCCAAGAACACATGGGGACACCATGAAATTTTCTGAATTTATGGTTCAGAAATTCTGCAAATATCAGGGTGAAGGGACTTACATAAGTGGAAGAGAGAAACTTTCACAGTGAAGCTGCCTTTGAAGTCAGGGTTTCCTTCAGACATATGCCCTCATACCTCTCATTGTTCATGGTGCTTTATAGAAGGTCTTGTGTGGAGACAGAGACTGCAATTGGGTTAGGCTTGGTGACTGAGCGTCTTGGCTGTGAGAGGAATGGATGTTTGCTGGGGGTCCCTCGAGATGGCAAAATGAAGACACAAGTGGAGAATCAGAATCTAGGAAAGATTATAGGAAAGAAAACTTTAGGATTACAGAGAAAAAATTAGGATTGCAGGATTACAGGAAAGAAAAGTGAGGAGTGTGTGATGGACAACTGAAGATGAAAGCCAAAGGGACATTGGATGTCAGAACCAAAACCAGTATCAAAGAGAACCAGAAACAGGTGGACAGGAAGGCCTTGCGATGAACTGAACTGATTCTGCTGTTAGACTGTTTGTCTGAACTCTGGGTGGATAAACCATGGCTATGGTGATGGAACGGTAATACAACAGTATAAGTAAACAAATAAGAGACATGGTTAGGAATTACAGAATTCATCTCTTGTGCATTCTAACCTAATTACATATAATGTATGATATATAACACATGATATGTGATTTGTGATACATGATATATAATATATATCCTAATTTCTGGGTCCATTCCCTTGATCCTGGGTGCCTATTCAGTGTTGCACTGGTAGTTTTAAGTGTCAATTTGACACTGCCTGGAATCACTTAGTAAGAGTCTTAATGAGGAATTATCTAGAATAGGTTGTTCTGTGTGAGTGTGTGTGTGTGTGTGTGTGTGTGTGTGTGTAGGTAATTGTCTTGTTAATTGATGTAAGAAGACCCAGCCCATTGTGGGCAGCACTAACCCCTAGGCAGGGGATCCCAAACTGTAACAGAGGAGAAAACTACCTTGCCAACAGCAAGAAATGTCACTGATGAGCCACCACATGAGAGGAGAGTAACAAGAATGTATAAATCTTCTCTTTGATCTTGACAATGGATGTGGTATGACTAGCTGCTTGAATTCTTGCCATAAATTTCTGAAATGATGCACTAAAACCTGCAATTGTTTGCCAAATGACCCCACACACAGAATGGGATGGGAGACACACCAAAGCTTCAAGATGTTCAGTCCCAAGTTTGTAATGTTACCAGAGTCAGAATCTGTGTCCTTAGCAGCTATAACAAGCCTGAGGTGGTCACACATTTCTGATAAGCTAATTGAAAGAGCCACATTAATAGTGAAATACAGAGAAAGAAGGTTAAAGAAGTGTAGGTGCATTGGGAAAGGAGGCAAAAGAATTCAGAGACCAGTACAGCCCCCGCCCATCCCTCACACCCTGCCCATCCATCCATCCATCCATCCATCCATCCATCCATCCATCCATTCAACCATCCGTTTTTTTAAGGCCTTACATCTGGGCAAAGTTTAATTTAAACTTAAATTTAAATTTAAACTTTTATTTTTAAAATAGAGACAAGAGACGTGCATAATTATGCAGCCCTTCAGTGACCCACATTTGCCTGGGCTCCAGCATGTCCTGCAGGGTGGGTTGATTAGTCACTGCTGCCCTGTGAAATTCCTTTCCTAGACACAAGTCCTCCCTCGGGCTAGCCCCAGGTGTCTGCCTTTTTATTCTCCAAGCATGAAATTCAGGGGAGAAATTCCAAGGAAGTCCAAGTGCCTTGTTTCAATAGTCCAGATAGCAAGAGATAGGGACAAACATGTCCCTTTAGAACGCCCTCATTCTTTCAAGGCATGCTGGTTATAGTATGTTGTAGGCTTTCTGTAAGTATGGTGGATTCTGACAGATGATTCTTCTGAGGAATGAGAAGACTTTAATATGATTTCGGAAATATTCCTTTGGGTACTCCCCCCCCCAGCTGGATTCCATTAAATTAGATGCTGATTTTCTTTGCTGTCATCTTCAACATCTTCCCCCACCACACTTTCGACTAAGGCCTGTTCTACATTCTTTTTGCCCAAATGAAGTAAAGCCCCTAGAATCAGGCTCAAGAAAACATTTGTAAAGGTTTTACAAATGATCATTCCTGCTCTTATTTATAGGCCACTCACTGACCCAAGGAAAAGTTTGCATCTGTACCCCACCATTGACAGACAGTAATGCACTTCCAATATCATCCTTCTCTTCCTCAATTGCTCTGTGATGCAGACTACTGTGTTTAGCCTCGGCTGAGTGTTTGATGGGCCTGCTACAGCTCCTCTCACACTTACTTGCCTTATGATGGATGAAGAAGCATCTCTCCCTCCTCCCAGGGCAGGATGAGGGAGGTGGGAAGCTCAGATTTGGAAAACATACTATGCCTTGGTAGGCTTTGGAGTTTGATAATATTTGGAATCTATTCTTTTTTAGTATTTGAGGAAACACTGAAACAAAACCAGCCACATCCCAATAGTCAGATAAAAGCAAGAAACTACTAAAGAGTAAGAAGGAATGACCATCAGATATGATAAAGAGATACCACAAGATTTTATAAGAAAACAATCATCTAAATAACGAGTTCAGTATTGAATGTGTGTGAGCATACGTGTTCCTACGGGCATATGGATCTATGTGAGTGTTCGTTGAAGACTGAGATTAAAAACAGGTATTTTCCTTAATCACTCTCTACCTTGTGTATTGAGACAAGGTCTCTCACTGAACCTGAAACTCAACTATTTGGCAAGACAGCCCTCGTCAGCAAGCCCCAGGATTCTCCTGTCTCTGTCTTCCCAAAGCTAGGATCACAGGCTACACTCAAGGACAGCTTATTCAGTGACCTTTTCTGACATTCATGTATCAAATAGTGGAAACTAAAGTCACCTAAACTTCTTTGAAGCCCCAGTTTCTAGATAAATTCAATTGACTTATTAAGGGCCCTTCATAGAAAAAGACTACATTGAAATACTGTTTAATATTAGAAATGGATTTTTAAATAGTCCATGTAAATCTTTTGCATATGTAGTTAGTAGAAGTAAGATAATATCCTCATTTAAATTAAATGGAAAATTTCAAAGATGAGAAAACTTTTTTTAAAACATGGATTAAATTCAGTTTTGATTCTTAGAACTTCTATCCACTTACTTATCTGACATCCTCACTAAAAGCAAGGCTTAAAATTCCTCATGAAGGTCTGAGACACTATTTCCAATCTTCTACCTAAAATGTGTTTGCTTTTGATGGCTGTCTTAGTCTTTTCCTGTCTGCCTTTCATTTTTCTTTTTGTTTGTGTTTGTTTTTTGAAACAGGGTCTCAAAATATAGTCCAGGCTAGCCTAGAAAACACAGCTACCCCATCCCTGTACATATCCACACCACACCCACTCAACTTTCCAGGTGCTGGGATTTGTAGAGACAAGCAAACCACCACATCTGACTCTCTTTTTGTTGCTGTAGCCAAATGCCAGTGATTTGGAAATTACTGAATAATGTTCGTTTATTACCTGGTCTGCCAGTAGCATGTTGTTGGCATCTACTTTGGGCCTTCTTAGAGCTCCTCTGATGTCAAAACATACTGGAGAGCCCTGAGCTGAAATGCAGTGAAAGCTGACCTTTAGAGCAAAGACCCTAACATAATCCATGGGCCCACATGCACCTCACAGGCCCACATCCCAACAGCACTACACTGGTAGATAAATATGAGAACACTTGAACTTTGGTGGATCACATTCAAATTACAATTATGATATTGTATTCTTCCTAAAGGCTTTCATTTATACTATCTTGAGTGTTCTGTAAACCTCTCCTACCAATTAAGTAAGTGTTAGCTATATGACTCTGGCTTTGTGTCTCAGTGTATCAAAATAGACTATAAAGCATCCAGAGTAAAGCACAGATAAAATGTATTAAATTAACCAACAGATTGTTAATAATTAGATTAGGTGGGTAGTGAAAGACTTGATAGTTAAAGCAATAAACTTTCTGGCCA